TGTGTATGTCTATGGATGAACACAGCCTGGCTCAGGGTAGAGCCTGCACATCTGCCCCCATAGTAAGCGGCTTGCTAAGGGCACACAAAGAAGAGAAGTGAAGATGGTTGGCGAGGGACCCCAGAAAAGGAGGTTTGGGGCCGCTCTGTGCAAAATGGGTAAATAAAACATATTTCTTATTTAAAGGGGTGGGGGAGGCAGCTATTGAAAGGTTTTTTTTACCTTAAACTGGAACTTCACCCATAACAACTTGATTAAAATTGAATATTTCTATATTACAGGTACTTGTATAGCACCGTCAATTTACATAGCGCTTTACATATATCGTACATCAGTCCCTAACCCTCAAGGAATGTACAATCTAAATGTTGTTTAGCAAGGAACATACATTCCACATTAATAATTATGCTGCCAAAATGAGTTTGTGCTACAAATTGCCTCCCGAAAAAAAAAAAGGTTACAACCACGTGACAATAAGGCAATGCACTGGCAAGCAGAAGACCTCACAAATGTCACTAGACAGTAGGTCCAGCCAGGAAGGAAAGTGGCATGGGATGGATCCTGAAGAGCGGGCCAGGGCTTAGTGTATGCAAGAGCCAGTGTGGATGGGGCGGACCGCTGCCTGAGGGTCATTGTACCTGGAGGGAGACGCCAGTCCATCACACAGCCCATCCAACCCTTGTCTTGTGTCACTGCTGGGAGCAGGAGAAGTAGAGACACGTTTCAAGGAGTAGATCCTCTTCGCCAGTCTAACAGGCTACTGAAAATTACTGAAGCCACAAAAGTGACAGCAGAGAGCTTAAAGCAGTGGTCAACATTGTTGAGATAGTGGCCACTGACATCACAAAAAGGCCACACATAAAATTATGTAAATATTCTTTATCAGAGACAAGAGACAAAGATAAGGATATAGTCAGAGACGGAAGACATGCTAAAAAAGATGGTCAGAATCTGCAGACATGATACAAGAGATGGTCAGAGATTACAGACATGATACACGAGATGGTCAGAGACTGCAGACATGATACAAGAGATGGTCAGAGATTACAGACATGATACACGAGATGGTCAGTGACTGCAGACATGATACAAGAGATGGTCAGAGATTACAGACATGATACACGAGATGGTCAGAGACTGCAAACATACTACAAGTGATGGTCAGAGACTGCGGAGTTGTGAACATGCTACATGAGTTGTTGGAAACTGGGGACTTGCTTCAGGAGACAGTCATAGACTGGAGACATATTACATAAGACTGATTTCACAGTATAATAAGGAAACACAGATTAGTTTCTGAAGGGGATATCAATATCACTTTTATATCTAGCACAGGGTAGGTACATAGACCCTACCAGCAACAACAGATCTCCCAGTAGCCAGCATCAGGAGACCGTTCCTGCTACAGTAGATCCCCCTAGCAATGATTGAGCCCCTCAGCAACAGATCCTCCGCCAGCAATAATAGACTCCCCCTAAAGCAATTGATTCCTCAGTGAAAATAGATCCCCACCAGCAACAACAGATCCCCAGCAGCCAGCATCAACAGACTATCCAGCACGCCCCAGCACTCCTTGCCATTAAGTCCAGCTTATACGTCCAGTGAAATGTGTATGGGGACACTTCTGTGGTGACAGAGTACGATATATATTAAGCAGAATTTGTTTGCTCCATATTGGATGTGTTTTTTCAATAACAGACTAGACTGTTATAGGAGATTTAACCACTTGGTGACTGCCCACCTGCAATGTACTGCAGGTGTGTGGCCGTTGTAGGCAAAGTAACGTACCTGTACATCGTTGCCTTTTTCCGGGTTTTGGGTGTACGCATGCTCGCCCCCCCCCGGCCGGCACCCGCTGCCACTGTACACAGCGGGAGCCTATTAGCAATTCCCGCCAGTGATTCACGGCCAGAACCTGCTGATCGGCTGTGTTAATTCCCCAGAGATCTGTGTTGGTAAACAACTCAGAGCTGTGTACAGAGGGAGCAATCTCTCAGTTTCTCATCCCTAAAAAGCAGGAATGAGAAACAAAGAGACCTAGTAGCAAAAGCAGCAAACTTTACACACATTAAACATAGTTAGGGCACATATTTAACCCCTTGATCACCCTAGATGTTAACCCCTTCCCTGCCAGTGTCATTAGTACAGTGACAGTGTATAGTATTGTTACTGATCACTGTGTTAATGTAATTGGTAATGTCAGTGGCAGTTAGTCAGTTACCCCAACGTCAGTTAATGTCAGATTGCCCACCGCACTATTTCAGTCCCTTTATAGGTAACTGATTGCTGCCGTAAGTAGTAAAAAAAAAAGAATTCCAGTATATATACCACCGTTTGCTAATTTAGGGAAGTTGTGCAAATATTGCCACAGAAACACCACTGGGCCTAAAGAACTGAACAATGAACTAAAGAAGTGGTGTGGCACTGAAATATCTTCTCATATCTGCTCTGCGCTGTACAGTTGCAAGAAAAAGTATGTGAACCCCTTGGGATTACGTGGAGTTTTGCATGAATTGGGCATAAAATGTGCTCTGAACGTCATCTAAGTCACAACAATAGAAAAACACAGTCTGCTGAACATAATACTGCACAAACATTAGATGTTGCCATGGTTTAATTGCACATAACATGTAAACATTCACAGTGTAGGGAGGAAAAAGTATGTGAGGCCCTAGCTTAATGACTTCTCCCAGAGCTAATTGGAGCCATGAGTGAGCCAACCTTGACGCCAATCCGTGTGATGATCTTGGATGTGTTGCTGACAGCTGTCCTGCCCTTAAAAAACACACACCTGTTTTGGGTTTACTGGTTTCAAGAAGCACTGTCTGATGTGAACCATGCCTCGCAGAAAAGAGCTCTCAGAAGACCTACGATCAAGAATTGTTGACTTGCATGAAGCTGGAAAGGGTTACAAAAGTATCTCCAAAAGCCTTGATGTTCATGTGTCCACGGTAAGACAGACTGTCTACAAATGGAGAAAGTTTAGCACTGTTGCTACTCTCCCTAGGCGTGGTCGTCCTGTAAAAATGACTGCAAGAGCACAGCGCAGAATGCTGCATGGGGTAAAGAAGAATCCCAGAGTGTCAGCTAAAGACCTACAGAAATCTCTGGCACATGCTAACATTTTTGTTGACACATCTACAATAAGGAAACATTAAACAAGAATGGAGTACATGGGAGGACACCACGGAGGAAGCCATTGCTGTCCAAAAAGAATATTGCAGCACGTTTGAAGTTTGCAAAAGAGCACCTGGATGTTCCACAGCACTAATGGCAAAATATACTGTGGATGGATGAAACCAAGATTGAGTTGTTTGGGAAGAACACACAACACTATGTGTGGAGAAAAAAAGGCACAGCACACCAACATCAAAACCTCATCCCCACTGTAAAACATGGCGGAGGGAGCATCATGGTTTGGGGCTGCTTTGCTGCCTCAGGGCCTGGACGGATTGTTTTCATTGATGGGAAAATGAATTCCAGAGTTTATCAAGACATTTTGCAGGAAAAGGTACGACCATCTGTCCGCCAACTGAAGCTCTGCAGAGGATGGGTGATGCAACAGGACAATGACCCAAAGCATACAAGTCATTCAACAAAACAATGGCTGCAACAGCACAGAATACGCCTTCTGGAGTGGCCCAGTCAGAGTCCTGATCTCAACCCGATTGAAATGCTGTGGCATGACCTTAAGAGAGCGATTCACACCAGACATCCCAAGAATATTGCTACACTGAAACAGTTTTGTCAAGAGGAGTGATCCAAAATGACTCCAGATCGTTGTGCAGGTCTGATCTGCAACTACAGGAAACGTTTGGTTGAGGTTATTGCTGCCAAAGGAGGGTCAGCCAGTTATTAAGTCCAAAGGTTCACATACTTTTTCCTCCCTGTACTGTGAATGTTTACATGTTATGTGCAATTAAACCATGGCAACATCTAATGTTTGTGTAGTATTATGTTCAGCAGACTGTGTTCTTCTATTGTTGTGACTTAGATGACGTTCAGAGCACATTTTATGCCCAATTCATGCAAAACTCCACGTAATCCCAAGGGGTTCACATACTTTTTCTTGCAACTGTAGTTCTTGGTAGTGGTGTCTAATAGACAGGACATGGATAAGACATATGGCTGAGAATTTCTTCTCTCCCTCTCCACTTCTGGAGATGGTCAGAGACTGCAAACATGATATAGGAGATGGTCAGAGACTGCAGACATACTACATTAGATGGTCACAGGAACACTTTTAATTTTAGATAAATTATTTTTTTTATCAGTGTATTATTATATCCAGGACGCGTTCACTGTGTAACTCCCTTTACTGGGTATCTTATTTCTATCTTAGGACCTTTACAGCAGAGCGGATCAACTTGTTTGATATAGTGGGCCTCAATACAGCACCTGACATCACCAAAGGGTCAATCATAATATAATATTATATGACAGAATATTCAGTGAATGCAACAGAAAGCTGTGAAAGACTGCAAACATGATACAGAAGTTGGTCAGAGACTGCAGACATACTATAGGAGATAGCCAGAGACTGCAGACATCCTACAGGAGATGGTCAGAGACTGCAGACATACTACAGAAGAGGATCAGAGACAGCAGACATACCACAGAAGAGGATCAGAGACTGCAGACATACTACAGAAGAGGATCAGAGACTGCAGACATACTACAGAAGAGGATCAGAGACTGCAGACATACTACAGAAGAGAATCAGAGACTGCAGATATACTACAGGAGAGGATCAGAGACTGCAGACATACTACAGGAGAGGATCAGAGACTGCAGACATACTACAGAAGAGAATCAGAGACTGCAGACATACTACAGAAGAGAATCAGAGACTGCAGACATACTACAGGAGAGGATCAGAGACTGCAGACATACTACAGGAGAGGATCAGAGACTGCAGACATACTACAGGAGAGGATCAGAGACTGCAGACATACTACAAGAGATGGTCAGACTGCAGACATACTGCAAAAGATGATCAGAAACAGAGAAATAGCAAAAAACTCCCACTCTGGTGAGGGTGGCCTTGTATCTGTAGTACAGTGCTAGTGTATATTATTAGCACTGATCACTGTATTGGTGTCACTGGTGATGTCAGTGTCATTTACTCAGTTCCCACCCAGTGTCAGATTTCCCACCGTACAGTCAGTCACAGTCCTGCTATAAGTTGCTGATGGCTGCCATTACTAATAAAAAATAAATAAATAAAAATTCCAATACATACCATAGTTTGTAGATGCTATAACTTTCATGCAAACCAAATAATATACGCTTTCTGGGATTTTTTTTTTCACCAAAAATATGAGGCAGAGTAATTTTGGCTTAAATTCATGAAGAAATTTTTAAAATTTTTCATTGGATATGTTTTATCACAGTAAGTAAAAAATATTGTTTTTATTTTTCCACAATTTTTTGTCTGTTTTGTTCACATAATAAAAAAATGAAAAACCCAGTGGTGATCAAATACCGCCAAAAAAAATGCTCTATTTGTGTGAAAAATTATATTAATTTCATCTGGGTACAGTGCTGCATGACCGCACAATTGTTAGTTAGTAATGCAGTGCTAAATAGCAGAAAATGGCCTGGTCAGGAAGGGTGTAAAACCTTCCGGAGAGCAGGTGGTTACGGAGGAGGGGCTCCCTCCAGGCATGACTGCCCTTACCCACTTAAAGACCAGGCCTATTCTGACACTTTTAATTTACAAGTAAAAAATCTGTAATTTTTGCTAGAAAGTTACTTAGAACTCCCAAACATTATTTATTTTTTTAACCAGAGTCCATAGAAAAAAAAATTATGGGTTTTGGTTGGTAATTAAAAGACCGAAACTGGAATTAACAAAATACTTGTTGTTTTCGGTTTTGTATACCATAGACACTTTTCTTAGTGTAGTCACTCCCCCTTATATCAGTGACCCCCCCATAGGCTGTGTGGCCAGCTGTCACTGACCTGACCTCAAGGCTCCTCCTTTTCTTGTTTGGGTGCAACATGTCAGTCAGACAGCGTCCAGTCCAGGCAGCTCACTCCTCTGCTTTGATCTTCTCACCACCTCTATCCTCTTCTTTTCCGCCAACAAAGGACTGTCCAGGCAGCCGATAGCACCCCCGCTCTCAGGTCCTGGCCCAGCTTCGGAACTGACAAGCTTAGTTTTAGTCATGTTTCTGAAATGCCTGGGTGTGAATGTGAAAAGAAAAACAGAAAAAGAAATGATATATACGGCTAAATTCACATAGCTTTTTTTTTTTTTTTTTTTTTTTTTTTTTTTTTAAAGATTAGTATTCAATACAAAAATACATTTTATTTTAGCTAAGAGCCAATGAGGGTTATTTACTAAAACTGGAGAGTACACAATCTGGTGCAGCTCTGCATAGAAACCAATCAGCTTCCAGGTTTTATTACTAAAGCTTAATTGAACAAGCTAAAGTTAGAAGCTGATTGGCTGCCATGCACAGCTGCACCAGATTCTGAGTGATCGAGTTTTAGTACATTTCCCCAATAGGTCAGATGAATATAAACATAAATCTTTGCTCTTATGTGTCTTTTCATTATTACTGGTAAAAAAAAAGTAAAAAAAAAATCAGCTACTTATATGTGAGCAGAAAAAAACATGGAGAGTAACTTGGAATTAGTTCACAAGAGTAATGATATATGAAGGTTCTGGTGTCCCCCAAGAACTGCCAAAACCACTCAACAAAAAGGAAAAAAGTTAGAGCAAATTGTCCATGTATCACAAGGCAAAATTACATGAAAAATCACTAAAGTAACCAAAAGGACTTTATTGGAATGATTATACCCCATTACCCTAGACCAGTCTTTCTCTACCAGGGTACCTCCAGAGGTTGCTAGGGGTTCCTCGTGCAATAAGCGACCTCTGCCTCTCAGATCAGTAACCATTGACATTAATGAGCTTTTTTAGGTATCTACCTATCTGTTTAGGTGACTGCAAATGTAAGGAGCATTATTCCCAGTGACCATCACAATAATGTACTGTGAGCTGTAGATATTAGTGGTGCGCCGGAATGAAAATTCTACACCGAAGCCAAAAATTCAGGATGGAAAGTTTATTTTCTATTTTTTAAATATAATTGTATTATTTTGATATATAATTGTATTATATTGTATTATTTTTTTACTTCAGGTGTGGAAAGACTGTAAGACGCTCTCACTAAGATAACCCAACTATGCCCGCCCTTTCCTGACCAATCCGCCATTCATAGCATCCATCCTACAGCTTCTTTGAATGACAGAATCTTTGAATGGAGGGTGTGGAGCGCTTAAATTGCCAATTAATTATATAATTGCATCTAATACCCTAGCCCAGGCTTTTGTAACTAGGGTGCCGAGACACCCTGGGGTACCATCTGGGTTCTTTAGGGGTGCCTTGGCAAAATGCCTAAACATTGCCCAAAATTACCCCAAAATGTTGTACAAGCCAGTGGGTGGATAAAGCCTGTCTTTTTGTTACACAAAGCCACAGGATTTCATTGTGCCAAATTTGGGCACTGTGCAGGCCAACCGCTAGCATCTTAATAACCGCTCATCCTTGTCTGATATACCCCCCACACCCCTCTTTGTCAGCACTGGGGACACCTTAGCTGCATGGAGTAGAAAAAAATGAGGGAGAAGAAATGCTGGAATACCAGTCAGCACCAGTATGCAAAAGTGCATTTGTTTTTACATTTTAGAATGGGGTGCCTCCAGATTGCGCAGAATTGTAAAGGTTGGCTTGACTGGGAAAAGGTTGAGGAGCACTGCCCTAGGCTACATAAACCAACATTACACATTAATAAAAACAATACATGTTTTATATGAAGACAGCGCCATCTAGCATCAATAATAGAGAATGCCTCAATACAGCCGTCTTGAGTGTGTCCGTACAAACATGCAGGAGTTGTATCATTCTGACCTGGCCAATCAAGATGGCTGAAGATCCGGGGCCTGAAAGAAAACTAGAAGATTTTGACAGTGCCATCTTAATAGCATCATGGGCCCCTGGGCAAAGTAATTCACTAGGGACCTACCAGGGAGATGGTGACCTGCAGCATCCATGGCAAAATGTGGGTGTGGCTAAATTATGTGACATGTTGGGTGCCCTCTACACACTGCTCCCTGTATACACTGACCCCTTTTTCCCTTTACACACTGCTCTAACTCTCACTCCAGTACAGGGCAGGCAGGGGGTGCAGTACAGGGTGGGAAGGTGGGGAACAGTACAGAGCAGGCAGAGGATGCAGTACAGGGTGGGAAGGTGGGGAACAGTACAGGGAAGGCAGGGGATGCAGTACAGGGTGGGAAGGTGGGGAACAGTACAGGGCAGGCAGAGGATGCAGTACAGGGTGGGAAGGTGGGGAACAGTACAGAGCAGGCAGGGGATGCAGTACAGGGCAGTCAGGAGGACGCAGTACAGGGTAAGCAGGATGGCACAGTACAGGGTTGGGGTAGGGGGGTGCAGTATAGGTGTCACTGTTGGCAGGAGAATGGAAAGAGGTCACGGCTGGCAATGCACTGGGTAGAGATCTTTCTCCAATCCTTGCACAGTACACAGCCTGAGCACAGGCACTAAGATCTCCTCCTCCCCACACAGCACATAACAGAAATACAATTCCATTACACACAGCTACTACCTGCACAGTGTATAGCTGACTGGATGCCGATCACATACTGGTTTTCCATTTGGCCAGATTCATTGGCTAGATGGGTGTACACACAGGCCAAATGTCAGCTGGTTGCTATTAAACCAGCCAATACCCAGCCCTTGTGTACGGGCTTAACTGTCTGCTCTAAAGGCAAAGTTCACAGATTGGAGCATGTTACACGCTATACCCATATTTAGGGTGTAACCTGTAACATGCTCCAGGATTCCCCCCTACTAAGTGAAAACAGTAAGAGGTTCCTCTCTCCTCACCCGTTGTCACTTTCTAAAAATGTTGCATCTGTGCGAGTCCCACAAGGAACCATGGCAGCCAGCTTGTAGTTCTCAATGAACTGTGACGGCGCTGATGAGTACCTTTGTAGTTCATTCACAAGCCATGTAGCATTCTAACTGACAGCCTGTACAGAGGTGTGAGCTGTAAGCTGTAGGGCTTGTCTGGAGGAGCCTGACATTGTATCAGTGATACACTGATCATGGGTGCAAGGCTTTGCAGACTCCTACGAGAAAAATTGTAAATGCACATTATTTTCTGCAAAAATATATACATTTAATATTTTTTCACAAAACGTAAACTTATCCTTTAACCCCTTGATGGCTGCACTAATGCATTGCAACCACAGCATTTCATGCAGTTGTAGGGCACTTGCAGGGGCCACGATCACCAGGAGCTATACCCGCCGAAAGCAATAGGGGGTCTAATTCCTGCCATGAAGCAAAGCATCGCAGCAGTAGCATATGTACACCAACAGCCGCTGCATCTGCAGATAAATGTGGTAGCTGTTGGACAGGTGGTAAAAGTGTGATCTGGGGATTCTAAATTCGATAGATAGATAGATAGATAGATAGATAGATAGATAGCATTTTACAGGGAGATGAACTGAGCACCCTAGATTGAGGATTTAGGGATGATCCGATAGCCTTAGAGAAAAGGAATTTTTCCCCATTGGAACCAATTTGACCAAGGGGGAGTTTTTGACTTTTTCTGAATCATTGGAAGGTTTAGGGGTCTGATAAGGCATTACATCTGAGGAGTTAAAGGATAACGCTGCCTGATCTTTGATGGTCTGTGAAGCTTCCTAATCATTTTACTGCTTTCCTCAAATAAAAATTGGTTGCCCTGTAATTTTCTTTTGTATGTGAAGTGTTTTTACTGCGGCAGGGCGACACCTGTGCGCACAGCGCCGTCTTTTAACGTCGCTGTGCAAAATAGGTAGGGGACGCGCGTGAGGCACGTGCCCGCCCTACCGATCGCGCCGTTCGAGGCAGCGGGTGTCCATCACCGGATCCCGGCGGGTCATTACCCGCCGGCTCCCGACGATTACCGGTAATCACTGACAGATAGCACGGCTGCAGTGTTTACATTGCATCACTGCTATCT